AGGCAGTGAGAAGGGGTCAGTGTGAGAAGTGAAACCCGGAACCCAGCTTGCCCGCTCAGCTGTGCTGGGAAGTTAGGGCTGTCCGCTGCACTCTGCACACTGGGCCCGGGGGGTGGCGGGGGGGCTGCCTCTCATCAGAGACCATTCTTGAGGCGCCTCACTGCTCTTTCCCAGGGACCGGTTTTTAGACCCTTTTCTGCACCCGGAGGAGGTAGAAGGCGAGTAGACAGTTGACTAGGGAGCCTGGGGCTTTAGTGGCAGAAGGGAAGGCCCTGAAAGGGGACCATGCCACATCAGGCATATGGCCGCTACTTAAACCCCCGCTGGCCAGCCTTTGGCCTGTCAGGTGGGCTTTTAGGGCCAGGGCTCTGCTAGGTCATGGGGACCGGGCAGTTGACGGGCACCTCCAGGGAAGCAGCTGTGCAGGCGCTGGCACATTTCTGAGTCCACCCTTTGCACAGAGAGCCGCCTCCCCAGGAGATCACCCCGCTGGGGAGCGCCTGCTGGTCCAGGGCTTGCCACCCGAGGGATGGGTGGATGGTGCAAGGAGTGTTCTTGGCCCACCAGCCCAGCTGCCTGGTCTCCGAGCGCAGCTCCTGGCACTGGGCTGCCGAGGCTCCACCCCCACCAGCTGCCGCGTTATTTCTGACTTGTCCAGGAGTTACAGATCTGTAATCCAACCCCTCCAGCCTGGCTTCCTCTCCCCTGGCTCTCCCCGAGGGGAAACCCTGGGACTTCTCTCCTGGGACCTTCCTGCAGGTCGGGTCCCCCTTGCACCTGGACACGGCTGCTGCCTGCAGGAGCTGCCTGGGACAGGTGGGGTGGGCCTGTGAGGGTGGTGGCAGTGAGCCTGGGTCTGGTGCCCCAGAGTCCCAGCCCGCCGATCCCCATCGAGGGACTCCTTGGAGCCCCGTCCGGGAGCTGGCCTCTTGGTCTCGCCAGGGGCTTTGCCTAAGAAAGCTGCCTTGGGGCTTGGGGCCGGGTGCTGGTCCCACAGTTCCTCCAGCGGAGGCCTGGCCAGCTGCCTCTGATCGTGCCCCTCCTGCTCCTGGTGGAGGTGCTGGCTTTGAAAACCTGGGACACCGTGGGGGCATGTAGCCCACCTCTCGTGGTGGAAGGCAGAGCTGGCCAGGAGTCTGGATCTCCTCGGTCTCCCTGGCCTGAGCTCTGTGCACACAGGGGCTGGTGGGGTCTTGGGGGAACAGGCAACTCGCCACCTGCTCTGACTCTCAGAAACGAGACCCTGCAGTGAAGTGGGTGGCCTGACACTCCCACGAAGCTCCCTGTCTCCTGGGCAGTCTCGTCCTGACACCCCCCATGCTTCTCACTCCGCAGCAGTCCCCAGAGCTGGCCAGGGGATGAACCGCGAGGGGGCGCCCGGGAAGAGTCCGGAGGAGATGTACATTCAGCAGAAGGTCCGCGTGCTGCTCATGCTGAGGAAGATGGGCTCAAACGTGAGTGCTGAGGGGGCAGAGCAGAGACTGTAGCTCCCGCCCGGAGCAGCCGTGGTCAGGAGGGATGCTGAGCCTGTGGTTTGGCTCTGTGGCCGGTTCATATGGCACTGAGTCTGGGAAGTGCAGTTCCAGGGGCACTGCTGGGGCATCTTCCCACCTCTGGGTCAGGTGGGTGAGTCTTCTCTTGCAGGGAGCGCCCCGGGGCACTGGGCGGGACAGGCACGGAGAGGGCAATGCCTTCCCAGTGGCCCTGCGCTACCCTGGAGGCTGGACTCCTTCCTAGGCCTGGGGGAGGCAAGAAGTGGAGGTGTCCTCAGGTCTGCTCTGAGTGGCGAGGCCTCGTGGACCACGAGGTTTCAGGGGTGGGAGGAGTGCTTGCTCTGGAACGGAGGGGTCAAACCTCCAGGGAGCAAAGGACTTGGCACCTCTTGGGGACCAAACAGGCCTGGCAGGTGCCTTCAGAGGCGATGGTCCGCCCTCACCTGCCGCTCTCCCCTTGCAGCTAACGGCCAGCGAGGAGGAGTTCCTGCGCACCTACGCGGGGGTGGTCAACAGCCAGCTGAGCCAGCTGCCGCAGCACTCCATCGACCAGGGTGAGTGCGGCCCGGCGGCCACACCTTCCCGGGCACCCAGTGAGGCTCCTTTAGAAAGCGCAGCTGCAGCCCTCCCAGTGGGGGTCCGTGAGAGACAAGGAGGGGCCACAGCGCCCCTCTCCCCACAGAGCTGAGCCCCAGGCAGAGCCGCATCTAGCCCCAGAGCCCCGGGGGTCCCTGCCTGGTCCCAGCCTGCCGAGACCCCTTCCTAGGCCTGGGGGAGGCCAGAAGTGGAGGTGTCTAGGGGCCCCTGTCACTGCAGACGCTCTGATGGTTGCATTCCTCAACCTTCGGCCTGACCCCTGCCCACCCAGCACCCTGTGCAGGTGGAGTGACCCTGTCTTGTGTGCTAGGACCTGGCCTGGGTGCGGACTACACAGTGGCTGGTGTGTCCTGGCTGTGCCCAGAGGGGAGGCCCAAAGGCCTGGAAGTGTCTGTGCCCCCAGGAGTTCATTCTTTTTTGAGTGCCATCAACTAATCATCATCATGGTAGTGGGTGGCATTTGAGTATATTGTCTAACAGGCATGTGCTAAGTGCTTGATACACGTCATCTAATTTAAGTGTAGCTCGCTACTATTTGTATTACTTCCACTTAACGGGCAAGGACACAGTTACTGCCCTTGGTCAGGCAGCCACTTACCAGGGGCCCCGAGTGCAGACTTGCAGCCTGGGTTCGCCACTGTCTGCCCTGGGGCAGCAGGAGGCTGCTGGGCACTTTTGGGGCTCCTCTTTCTGGAAGCTTTACGCGACCCTGTCGCCCAGTCTCCTGGCCAGCGTCTCCTTCCAGTTTTTTTCTTTTGTCCTTATGACATTTAGTTTGAATTATTTGCCATAAAACAGCGTGGCACGTCCTATGTGAGGGGCTCCATAGCAGAGGGCCGAGGGTCTGGCACACGGCTGCTTGTCCTGGAGCCGCCCTTGTTCTCCTGGATGTCACAGGGCTCTGCCCTGGCGCAGGGCCCAGTTCCTGAGCTCTGACGCTGGGCGTGACCCGGCCTGTGCACCTAGCTCAGCAGAAACGTACTGGACGTCCCAGTGGCTCAGGCAGCTCCCTGGGCAGCCGCTCTCCGGGCTACACACACAGGGCAGCCTGTCCTGAGCCGCCCGCACTGTTGGCGGAGTTGGGAGGGAGACGCGGGTGTGGAGTCTGCCCTGCCTCCTGGGGTGCACACTCCTCTTCCAGGCCCCTCTCCCAGTGCCGAACCACATCTACCTGAAACCCTCACATTTCTGAGTCCCTGGGCTTACCTTGCCTCCCACCCTGGTCTTGGCTCACTGAATTAACCTGAATTTGAGCGGGGGGTGATAAGAATGCTTCTGGTAGAATGTTCTTACTGGAAAAGTCAAGAAAAGCTGTAGAACTGTGTCAGTATAGAAAACAACACATTCATCTCTTCCCCCATACCCACGCATGTATAGAAAAAAAGGCTGAAATAAAATACACCAGGCCTGGCCGGTGTTGGCTCAGTGGTTGAGCATCAACCCATGAACCAGGAGGTCAAGATTTGATTCCCCATGAGGGCACATGCCCCAGTTGTGAACTTGATCCCCAGTAGGGGGTGTGCAGGAGGCAGCCGATCAATGATTCTCTCTCATCATTGGTGTTTCTATCTCTCTCTCCCTCTCCCTTCCTCTCTCTGAAAACAATGCAAACTTTATTTCTGTTTTTGTTTATAAGAAAACGCACCAGGCTGCTAATAGAAAATTTTGATAGAGGGTAACACTATATAAGGGACTTTCACTTTCCAAATCACACATTTTTAGAATGCTAATTTTTAACATGGCTCACACATTTCTTTTGTAATAAGGTAAGTTTAACCCCTTCCCCAATAATTTTTTTGTTAAAAACGTTTCTTTTTCAGACTAATTTTTTTATTTTGGTTCTATATAGTATTTTTGATGCTGGTTATGAAAACAGTTTGTAATTATTTTTTCTTCCCATTTTTGTGGTTAAGAATAGTATTTCCTCAGAAAGTTTCTAGATGAAATTATTTAGAATGGTACGTATGTAGCTGGTTTTTGAAGGTAAAGTTTTTAGACGAGTATACTCGTCGACGACTGAAAAAAGAACATTTTGTGAAAACGTGTATACACGTTTCTGCCGGGGAAGGGGTTAAAAGAGTATTTTTATGAGAACTCTTTACCTCGCTCCGCCAAACCAACAATTGAGAATGAAAGTGAACTCTGTCGAGTCGTTTAGGAGATCATGGTGACCTCACCTGGCCCGAAACTGCTGAGCAGCCAGGAGTGAGTCATGGGTGTGGGTGTGACCATATGGGCCCCAGAGTCTGGGCCCTTCTGAGTGTGGGTCGTCCACGGACACCAGGCTGGCCTCAGCCACCTCTCTCTCCAGGAAGCAGCTCCTGGAGCTGAGCCTGGAGCCAGGGGAGAACCTCCGGGCAGGCTGGTGGCAGGGGTGGCTCTCTGCTGCCGGGGTGTCCTGCAGGTGGCCCCTCACCGCCATGGTCACTCTGACCTGAGCCTCACGGAAGGCATGCGCTGCAGAAAGCCCGAGGATTGCCGGGGACCTGAGCTGGGGAGGGGAGGGTGGCTGTGCCTGGAAGAGCCTCGCAGCACGCCGTTACTTTGCCGTGAGCCTAAAGACACCACGAACGCACACACAATGGCAACCAGCCAGCAGCCAGTCCAGTCCCTCCGGCTGTGCAGGGACAAGCCTGAGAGTAAGACCTTACATTTCTGCCCGCCCCATGGCGCCCAGTAGCTGTCAGCTAAAATTCTAGTCTGCCTGCCTTCTCTGTGGGCAGAGCCGACCTCAGCGGATGCCACGGGGCATGCTGCTGTCAGAGGCTCCAGTGCTGCCCAGGTGGCAAAAGCCTGGCTCACTGCTTCCAGCGCAGGGGCCCCAGCATGAAAGACCCCCAAAGGCCTAGGAGCAGAAGCCTGGTGGGAGTGCTTCCTGCCACGAGGTGGCGCTGTCTCTCCGCAAATGCCCCTCTCTCCCTCCTGGGTGTCTGCAGCCTCTTGCTGTTCCAGCTCCCCTCCGTTGGGCGCCCGAGGCCACCCCACCAATGGATCTGTGCTTGGCATTATTCCTGGGGTCCTGCCCACAATCATTAGAACCACAAACACTTCCCCTCTGCAGCCGGAGGGGACTGGTACCCCGGGCACTTCTTGCCCTCCCTCGACCCAGGAAGGAGAGTGAGCTGGGCATTCGTTGCCCACTGTAATCTGGCCCCTCCTGCTGCACCCAGGCCTCTCAGCCTCCCCCATTCCCGCTCTCCCCCTGGTAAACTTGTGTCCAGTATCTGCTGGGCCCAGGCAGGTGCTGGAGACCCTGGAGCGTGGGCCTGCCCCTGAGAGCTCACTAAAGGGGTCCAGCAGAGGGTCCCATGGCCCCCAATACTGGACTGAACAGTGGACATGCCTGGCCTCTGCTGCTCTGAGACGGAGAGTGAGAGGTGGCTGAGGCCAGCCTGGGTGTCCCATGGATGATTCTGGGGCCTATATGGTCACACCCACACGCCTATGACTACTCAGCAGGATCTGGCCAGGTGAGGTCACCATGATCCTTCTAGAAACCCTGCTTTTCCTCCTTGTCTTCCATGATACACACCTCTCTCCCCTCCCCCAGTTTTCTACCTCTCTGCTCACCCCCCTGTGAATGCCCTCCTCCCCTGTCACACTGATCTCCTCCATGTTCTGTCCTCTCGACACTCAGTCTCATACGTTCTCTTTGGGAGCTCACATGCTACGGTGACTGCCACAGACATGCTCCCTCCGCGCAGACCCCTCTGCTGACCCGACTACGTGCAGCTCCCTACTGACCACCTCACCACGGATGTCCCACACGCAGCAGATCCAGGTTCAGAACCTTCCCCGCCTGTGTTCTCTGCCGTGATGGGCGTGTCCTCCTCTCTTCCCCAAGTATCTCGAAGCTTTAATGCTGCTCAGATCTGCTTCATCTTCTCCATCTTGGTTTGAACCCCATCTGGTCTGAGCCTGTATTAATTCTGATATTGATTACTGCCAAAGCTCCTAACTGGCGCCCTGACGTCTCACTTGCCCCCCACAGGGCACTTTCTCCTGCCTGGCCAGAGGGATTGTTGAAGGCCATGTCAGCAGGCCTCCCCCACTTAAAACCTTTCAGTGGCTCTCCTGCCTGAGGTTGGAGTCCAGCCCCTTAGCATGACGAGCAAGACCCCCTGCCAACCTGCACCACCGTGATCTCATGCACCTTAGACAGCCACAGGGAATGGCTCTCAGCTCCTGTCTCAGGCCACGCGTGTTCACGCCTTTCTGCCTCTGCATCTGCCTCTCGGCTACTAGGAGCCCAGGAGCCAGGCCCTGACCACCCTCCCCCTCCCCGCCTCCCGCAGGCCAGGCCCTCCTGTGATTTCCATCACATGTGTACTCTGTACTCAACTGTGCTGCTCGCACACTGTTTCCTGGTCTGCCTCTGACCAACTCTGAGTTCCTTGAGCCTGGGACTGTGGTTTCCCTTCCTGTATGTGTGGGGCTAGGAGCCTGCCGTCCCTGAGAAAGGCAGAGACATGGAGCCAGTTTTCTGAGCGCTGCAGGTGCCGGGAGCCGATCTATCCTTGCTGTTTCAAGGGACCTGGCATATATGGCATACTGTTCTTAATATATTTGCTCACCTTCTTGGGACTATGTGTTTTAACCAAGGTCACCTCTCCGAGAAAGGTTGTTTCCCTAGGTAGAGATTTTCCCCTGAAGTTAGGGAGGGAATAAAACCCCTT